GAGAATAGGAGTGACCGACAACTATGGGGAATGAGGAGGGTTGGATAGCCAAAAGGGAGGAAGACAAACACCGCCTTAGAGGAGGATACAGTTGGAGCACCGCCACCTCCTCGGATACAGCCCAAAAAGAAAAAAACGGACCCCACACAGGAATCTGGAATCAACACATAGCAAAAACTAAACCCTACAATCATAAAACAGCAAATTATAGACTCCCCGTTGAAGAAAAAAGAAAAGAAATAAAGAAGAAAACTCCCACACATAAGGAAGGGGCAGGGAGGCAAGAAAGATCCAGAAATAGCCATAAAAATCTTCCTATACGAAGGAGAAGCCAAAAAGTGAGGAGAGGGGGGCGGGAGGCCACTCGCCCCATCAACAGTCACACCCCGGCGTGCCCCGGGATTCCCCTGAACTGGTCTTCAATAGACCGGTCGGGTTCAGACGTGGGAGACCCACGAGTCCCGCGTCAGTTCGAGAAGCCACGTGACCGCATCATGTGTCCAAGCGAGGAAGTCTTGCGTCAATGCAGGAGCAAGTATTTTAATATGTGCAGGATTCGAACAAAAAAGAAAAGTTCTCAAATATAGGAAGTATAAGTGTTTGATCTAAATGAAAAGGTAGAGGCAAAGGCAAAGGGGTTTGTTGCAAGCGTTTGGGTTTAAATGGTTAGGCCTCTCATGTTGTTGTTGTTGCGTGCGGGAGTGGAGGATTATGAATTCTATGAAGAGAGATGTTTGAATGGTCGAGGGTTTTGAACAAAGAGAAAAATGAAGATAAGAGAATTAACTAAATCGAGAGAGATTGGAAGATTTTTGAGACTTTCGGATTAAGAAAGAGCATACCGATCATGATCACTATGGGAAGCGGGAGTAGGAATTGAGATCAAAGCAAGGGCAGATATTTTAATTTATTTTATCTTATTTTTATGTTCAATTAAACAGTCAATAAATAATCCCCAATAAATATGATGCGGGTATGGAGTTGGCTATATTTGTTGTCCTTGAGATGAAATAGATTTAACCATTTTTGTTCCACTAGTTACAAGCTTCCTCATTTTCTATTATTTCAAGGAATCTTTGACAAATTTTAATTGTTTCTGATTTGTTGATTATTCTTTTTTTCAGAGAAGATGTTCAGTTGAAGGAGATCGTCTGACCAAACACCTAGCAAGCCTAGTAAGAATGTCATCTGAGCAGTTATTGATAGGCATGATCGTTTGGGTAACACAAACATCGGAGAGAGGCTTGAACAACATGAACATATGCTGAGAGAGAGGGAGAGATACATATTTACCATGGTTTTCTCGGTAGCTCTCTCATTCTTCCAAATTACTCAACTGAGTCTTTTGATTTTAAGTATCCTGTAGAATGAATTAATGCTCTCAAATTGACGTGATTGACGGGTAGGGACTACAATCCCTTAAACGACACAATGGATAGTCAATCACAAAATCAAGGATTCTACATTTAGTTGCTTATACAATTGATTCGACAGAACAATTGAGATTGTTGAGCCATTGTAATTTAAGAAGAACAAATTTGAGTGGCCTAAATATTCGACTGTGTCAGGTTTCTAGCCCGACGCGCGGATATATAATTTGTGCAAGATATACTGCGAACAACCGTAATTTATGAGAATTGAATGCCCATGGATCACATCCTCTTAAATTTGAGTTACGATTGAGCTTTGGAATTCTGACAGTAACACGCGTTAGGTTGGCCCTAGGAAGCTAACAATTACCTTATGGGATCTACAAAAAATATCAAAACTCCCAATTTTTTTGACCAATACAAGTATATTCCGTTGATTAATGAACCCTTGCAAATGATCTTCTGAAAATAGTGATCAATAAGACATTTACTTTGCCATCAATTTATCTTGAGTTTTACGATCACTGTCGTTGAACATACAGAGAAGTGTGCCTACTAATGCATACACGAGTTATTATCCTTATAGACGTGTGAATCAGTAATTTTCTATTGGATAATAATCTGTCGAATTGTACATCACAGTCGAGTGACTTGTGAATTAGAACCACATCGTGACGATTATCAATTAGATGATTATGTTAGACCAACACTATTAGTAGATAATCCATCTTCAACAGTGTCATGTATATATGAAGATTTATTTTTATCCAAATTTCTCTCCCCTCTATTATCTGCATTTGTACTGCTCATTAAAGAGAGTTTTACATGCCTGGACACATTATTGGTTGTCAGCCAACTTGCATAAGAGGAATATTTGTCTCTAGCTCTTGTAGTAATTGCTTGGATACACAAATAAGATGCATTATTTCAGAGTCCAATTCTTTGAAACCGCCTTCATATTCACAGAGTCCTCGATGACTCAAACGCGCTCGCACAGTCAGTTTCGTCATTTGGGGTCGTTCAGACAAACTTGTCGATGATCTGGTCAAAAAATGCATCAAATTTAATTTTCGTTTTGGTTCACGATCGATCGTTTCAAAATTTTATTGAACTTTCGATTAATTATGCAACATAGAAAGACATAGGTGGCGTGAATTGCAATACTTATCATGTCGACCGTCAGAATCAAGATATTTGTGTGCAAATGCACGAAAATCATAATGGGTGTTCCTGAGGCTTCTAAACCCTATGAGAACTCATCATTGAATCCTCACAAGTTGGTCCTAACCTTCCAAGTCATGGAGGTTTATGACCAACCACGTAGGGTTTCGAAGAGAGCTAGGAGGTGGTTTGAATTTCTACATATGTGGGTTAGGATAGTCAAAGGGAAAGTCATATGGCTAGATCATAAGCACTAAAAGAAAATAAAGACCTCACCAAAAATGAGGTCAACATAGGTGTGGCTTGGGGTTGGGGTTATGGGCGTGGGTGGCTTGGTGTGGATGTGGTTATGGTGTTATGTGGTCTAAGACGATCAACAGCAAGTACCTGCAGAAGCATTCGAGTACCACATCGGGAATTCTCTACCACGAGATAAAAATGATCATTTTATTGTTTGTATGAGAGAAGAGGAAGGAACAAATTAAATGGCGGACCTTAAGGAACAAATCACTGATGTGTTAGTCGGCGAGTGATTGAATTATTTGTAAATTATTCCAAAAACTAGGTAATTTATTATATATGTAAAAAAAAATTTAACACATGCTAGATTTTGAGCATTCATAATTACGTTTTTTTTTTAATTTACAGTCATATGTATTTCATCTTTTAAAATGTTGGTTTGCAAATTTCTGCTTTTGAGGACAGTTTAGTACGAGACATCGATCGTCTTAATTTAAAAATAATATCATCATTACTTTAATTATAATTTTATTAGTCTTTTTTTCTTAGATTTTTTTTGGTACTTATTGTTAAGTGAATTGTGTATCTAAACTTTTGTTCTGTTTTGAAATGAATTTTTGTTTCTGAAGTATCAAATATGTGGTTGTCACAGTTTTATTTTAAGTTGTTTTACTAAATAGAGGCACAATAATCATTTTTCTACCAACAGCTTACTCCAGATGTTTTCACACAGCTGCAACAAAAAGACAGTCAACTTTGTTTTGTTTTAAGTTGTTTTACTAAACAAATGCAGAATGATCATTTTTCTAGCAACAGCTTACTCACAGATGTTTTCACACAGCTGCAACAAACAAACAGCCAACTTTCCCGCAGCAACTTCCCCGCGGCACCTTCCTGGGGCAGCACTGCTGAAAAGCTGAGAAGTCGCAGCTACCCCAGACAGACCCTCACACTGCATATAAGGAACATAATGTTGTTGTTATTGTTGTTGATGCTACTTAAAATCATAATCTACCATATTTCGATTAAATTCTACTATTATTCAAATATTTTTAGCTGCCACATTGATATGTCTTGCATTGCTCTTAAGGTCTAATATCATTTTGATGTAGATAGAGTAAGGTTTTAAGATTTCTAATACAAATATAATGATGCGATCAATAAATACATATCAGGCCAAAAATAAAAGATTCATAAATCAAAGACAACTAAAAACACAAAATTCATAAATCACCCTATTATATAATCATTTATCATTCTATCTTTCCTATTTCCTATTTTATAATTAACCCACTTTAGTTTTCATTCATGCTACTCAACTTAATTATAGGTGAATTTTATTTTACCAGCACTTGTGGCATATAATTTTCCTAAAACTCATCACTTCAACATTCCAGCCTTAGAAAGTATTCATCGAATGACCCAAAAATGCTACAACCCACCACACTTCAGCACCACTATTCTTCTAATAATATTAAATAATATTTTCAATCATAAATCTTCTAAATGCATATATATCATAACTTCAATCTTTGTTATACTAAACTCAATAACCATCTAATTTTTGTCTCTATTTATATTATTTTAATTTTCTCTTCACACTGAAAACAAATTTGAACCTGAACATTTTATTTTATAAGACGTCTTGTAAATCAAATTTATGTCAGCTGCAAATCGCCTACCTCGAAAATCAACCTTCTCTTCTTTTTTTTTTCTGGCAGCACCCTTCAATAATTGAAATTTACCGTACATTTGAATAAGCAAATCTTAAATATGCAAAAAACCACACTTACTCTCCCATGATGTCTATGTGGTGCCCAAAAAGTGCTGACATAAATACTAGAAAAGAGAAAAAAATAACACCAGTTTTTCACTAGATATGCTTTCTTGTTTAAAGAATCCCAGCACAGTCACGTCCATGTCAAGAAAATAAAGGTAAAAAAGTAAATTAACTGGATAATACATTTGGTTTTAGTAAGGAACTAAGATCATGACAAGCATTTTAAGTATCCAATTTTCAAACATTACATGCATACTTCCAATGGGCTAATGTGTGGTGCACTAAAACAATTACAAAATTACAATTGCGGCTAGAAGTCAGAAATATGAGTTATATTCATAAGATTTATAAGGTTTTCAGATCAGTAACTGATTATTGAAATCAGTATATTAGGGACTATTCAAGAAATTAAAAAAAATACCACTAGTTTGTAATTGCAAAAAGGTTACCCAAGAAAGAAAACGTATTGCCCGGTTAAATTGTCAACATTTCTGCTTCTCTGGAGCAAAACCAGTTGAGGAAGAATCGCTACTGCTTCCAAGTAGATTGAAAATGCCCAAAGTACCTACAAATACAGTATTAAATGCATGATTTTGAAGCCATTGTCGAGTTTTTTTAATACGAGTTTGTTCAGAACTAACTTGAAGCAACTGCTCAACAGGTTAAAAAAAAATTATAAAACTATGAAAAAATCCTTCAAACCCAAGCCAAACACATAAGATGGCCACTTCAATCATCTCTTTTATGTTAGCCTTTGTTTCAAGAATTTGTGCTAAAGATTATTGTTGTTCTTCATTAACATGCACATGAAATTTTGACAACAGCATTGTCATAAATCATCAATTTATGTAGGGATAAACAATATGGGACGTACCACGTTCATGGACTACCTTACAGAAAATACACTTAATGAATTTAAAATACACTTCATAAAAGCTAAATTATCCTAGGCATACGAATTTAAAAAAAAAATTAAATGTTATACTCATTCATGAACGCATGAAGCGACATTCAAATGAGTACAACATTGAGTACCACCCCCCCCCCCCCCCCCT